GGACAATTGGCGTACAGTTATCCAGTTTTTTTCTTTCTTTTTTGAGCATATTGAATATTTTACGGATACTTAAATAGTTCTCTGATCTGTATTTGGCTTGTGCTAGGAGATATAGTTATAGTATTTGTGTTTAGATTGGGAAGATATGTTTTTATTCTCCATGTTGCTGTTTCGGGCCTTTTTTTTTTTTTGGCGCCATGTTTCTGTTTACGTTTAATGCATTCTATTTTGAATAAAATGCGGGGACAGATGAGCCTAACTGGATAGGAGCCAAAGGCCCAAATCGAAGTGGAATAACCGGACTGAATTATTTAATTAGGTTGATGTTTGGTTCATTTGCTGTGTTTGGTTTGGTCGGGTTGATGCCATTTTCCCTTGTTGAGTTTTGGCCTATTTTGAACCGCACTGAACCAAACAGATACATGCCCACCCCTAACTAAAGTTATTTCTTGATATTGGGTTTTCATTCATTGTAGATTTGAAGTTGCCAGCGGCGAATCAGCAGCCATGGTGAGGAAATGCCCTTTTATCTGCATACTTCTAATTGAATTTTCTGATCTTTATCATCTTTTCATGAAACTTCGGTTTTAGTATCCTCATTTCTTTTCCAGTTTCATTGAGTGTTCCCTAAGGGACATCCCCATTTCATGTTATTGGAGCATTTTAGTGGTAGGAAGAGTTATTCATAATGTCTACAGGTTACAATGCCAGGCTCTGAGTTCAAGTGGGTTCTGATATTAAGTTCTGTCTTGAAACATGTCTTGTCAATCTATCTTGCTCATAGCCCGGGGACTTTTTATTTGTTTGATAGGCTCCCAAAAGAGGTGTAAAAGCTCCAGTTGCAGCTGCTAAGAAGAAGCAGGTGAATGGTTTAATTGATATGAGTTCAATTAAAGTATACATATCATTTTGGGTATTTTCCAGATCATGATATGATTTGGCTTCCATTTTCCTTCGATAATTTGCTTTACTTTAGGACAAGGTTGTCAACCCCCTTTTTGAAAAGCGACCAAAGCAGTTTGGGATTGGAGGGGCATTGCCTCCTAAGAGGGACCTGACCCGATTTGTGAAGTGGCCCAAGACTGTTCAAATTCAGAGGAAAAAGAGAATCCTCAGGCAAAGGTTGAAGGTCCCACCAGCTTTGAACCAGTTCACCAAAACTCTAGACAAAACCTTGGTATGAAATCTAACTGAGCTTTGGGGTTCGTGATTTTCTTATCCACAATACTGCCCATTATTCACTTTCGTTTTCTTTTTCTGTCCATATTGTCATGAAGAGTATGATCTTGACAGGTTTATCTAATCAAGTGTATGCTTCACATTACTCATTCAAAAAACTATTTTAAATGTTTATTCACCATTGATCTAAGCCTTATATCTGCAGAAGTCAAGGTTCTATGTATAATCAGCTAGCCTGATTCTGATTGAACATTAACTTGTGGCTGGTAGAAGACTCTGGTAGCATGTGCGTAATATTTTATTTCATGTTAATTGCATCTCTGCGCATTTTCCCAGAGTTGAGACCCTGAGAGCTGTAGTCAATGCGTCTGAATTGGGGATGTGAAAATAGGTTAACTTTGTTCATTAATTGCATAATGCCTGTTTCATTGTGTCTTGAGGATTACGAAATTTTTTATTTTAGTTGTTAGTTTGTCTTGGTTGTGTTTGCTTTCTCAGTAGAGGTTTGAGAAAATCCTTGATATCCATATAACAACTGGCTCTTGTTCTAAGGGCTGCACTGATTATCTTTTATTAATCTCATTTACAGCAACCAGCCTGTTCAAGATGCTTCTTAAGTACAGGCCTGAGGATAAAGCTGAAAAGGCAGAACGACTCTTGAAGAGAGCTCAGGCAGAGGCAGAAGGAAAACCTGCTGAAGCTAAGAAGCCTATTGTTGTGAAATATGGTCTTAATCACGTCACTTACCTTATTGAGCAGGTCGGCCCCCCCCCTCCCGGGTGGATGCATGGTAATATATGTATTTACCTGACGTTTGACCATGTATTTTTATTTTTTTAACTTGCAGAATAAAGCACAGCTGGTTGTGATTGCGCATGATGTAGATCCCATTGAGCTGGTTGTCTGGCTGCCAGCATTGTGCAGGAAGATGGAAATTCCCTATTGCATTGTCAAGGGCAAGGCACGCTTGGGATCGGTAATATTTGTGCTTCAGAAGAATTTTTATTCAAGCCATTTTGTGTGGTGGTTTATTTGAGTTTGGTTGGATCTAATTCAATTCATCCTGGCTTTGACAGATTGTCCATAAGAAAACTGCATCAGTTCTGTGCTTAACAACTGTCAAGAATGAAGACAAGTTAGAATTCTCTAAGATTCTAGAGGCTATCAAGGTTAATTGAGGGTTATTCTATACTGTTTCCTTGCTGTCTATTCACATAACAAAAAATTAATGGGCCTTGTTATTTTGTTTACTCCCTTTGCAGGCCAACTTCAATGACAAGTATGATGAATACAGGAAGAAATGGGGTGGTGGCATTATGGGTTCTAAATCCCAAGCCAGAACTAAGGCCAAGGAAAGGCTTCTTGCCAAGGAAGCAGCTCAGAGAATGACTTGAGCTTCATGCTTTTTTGGTTTAGGAAGTCAAAGTTATTTTTCTATATTTTGTTTTGATGTGATTTTCCTGTTATAGTAGCTTGTTGGCTAAAATTGTATGATGATTCCTTTGAACTTGAATACTTAGTAGAGTCTGTGTTTTTGATTGATAGCTATCCTATACCTACATATTTTATGTCGGGGGTGTTTGGTTTATCAAAAAGCATTTTAAGTTGTTTACACTCTTGACTTGCTTCTTAGTGCCATTATCAGAGAGGTTTCGTTTTTTTACCGACTAATCTTGGTGGCTATTTGCCCACCCAAAATACTCCCTTTGGTCCTATTATAAGTTATTTCTAATTAATTCATCCACACTGATAAAAATAGTTGAAACCATTAAAGTTGTTATAAAATTTAAATGATTTTTCCATATCATCTTTATTAATTATAGTACATTCCAATATCATATTAACTTTTATTGTCACTACTCTTATTGATATTAAATGCGGGGGACTGTAGTGAAAAAATTGTTTGATCCTCATTCCGATCAGTTTAGCTTTATGAAAGAAGACTAAGAATGCTTTTTATTTGATGTCTTAATGGGAGTAATAGAGAAAACATTGGAGTGTGGGGCAGGTATTACTTCCTCGTTTTGTATGAATGCGTTATGTTTTGGTATGATAAATTCGTGTACTATAGGCATTGGAAGTAGGTTTCTTTTACATGTATATTTCTTAACATGTGAACAGATTTTCTTTCAGCAGATGGGGTAGAATCCTATTCCATCGTCAGCATGGAACATGGTGGCTTGCGCAGAAACGAGGGTTACCTAGTGGCTTACACAGAAACGGGAGTTAAAAGAGGATATTTTAATTTGAATTCCATTTGAACTTCCGTTCTTAGCCATGACAGCGGGGTTTGTTTGGATTAAAGTTTGGAAAAGTGATTATTTCAAATGATTTTTATAAGTTGGAGTTGGAGTAAAAATTAATTAGTGTGTTACTGCTACCAATCACATAAGAGTTATTTAGTTAATTTGGATAAATTAAGAAAATGAATTGTAACAAATATGAATTGGTTTTCCTAAAATATTTTTTTTAATTACATACATCCTTAAATGAAAAGCTCCTTAATATGTATAATCAATAGGGATATTTTGATGATTGAATTATAAATGAAATACAAAGTAGATTGAGGTTTTATATTTAAAATCAAATTTAATTTTTAATTAGCTCTTAGATTTATGATTGGACACAGTAATTAATTAGCATAAAAAAATCACTTTTTGATGAATACCCAAATATGTGTAAGGAGTGTTTGGAAATTTTTTTTTGAATTTTAGACATAAAATACATCAAAATCTTTAGAATATAAGGTAGTATAATTTATGTTTTGATAATATCTTTGAAAAGTAGGTTTTACTTTGGGGGCATAAATGCTTTATTTCATTTTCTTTCTTTCTTTTTTATTTTGATGTGCAAACCTCTGGTGTCTTGGTACCAGCCTCTTTCAATCTAAGAGGATTTTATTATAGCATAGACTAGTTCGGATTAATAATTGTGAAACCTTTAAGTGAAAAGTAGGTTTAAGTTTTGGGGCATAAATACTTTATTTTGTTTTCTTTTTCTTTATATATATTTTTTGGCACAGACCCCTAATATCTTGGTGCCTGCCTCTTTCAAATTAAAAGAATTTCATTGTGGCAGAGGCTAATCCATATCAAGAAATATGGGACTTTCTAGCTGGGCTCTCTTTGACTAAGTTTTAACATTGCTACATTTCAATTACTCAAACTCAAAACCTCAAATTAAGCTAGAACAACTCCCTTGTCGGTTCATCCAAAGCACTTAGTGCTATAAATGCTTTATTTCTAAAGCAATCTCAAAACATATAGTTCGTACTCAAACTATCTTTTTGGATCAAATAAATCAGTGAGGCACTGATAAGTCACCCCAAACGTGCGCCTTATTGGTTCGTGGAAATGCTTCTAAACTAATGCAACCTCTTTGCTCTAGTATGTATTGCATTATGAATGCTTTTTTTAATAAATTTTGAAAGTATGACAGCATCAAATTTCCTAATAAAATTAAAGTTTCATCCCTAGGAATACCAGAAAACTACAACAATAAAATTGGCAACGAGATCCAAAGAAACCTATCAATAAGTAACATTGAATTGCATTGTACTATTCCATGACAATAGAGTTGATATTATTAATCTAGATTTGAGTATATTTCTCTTAGCACTGTTTTCATTTCAAAAGTTGGAATCTTTTTCAACCTGACTACTGTTAGTTTTTGCAAGACATTAACAATAAGGTATCAGTTTTGAAAATATGATGGTATTAATTTGCCTAATAAGCTTTTCATCTAATAGAAAACTTCAACAATCAAATTGGCTTCGAAATCCAAAGAAATCATTCAATAAATGAAATTGAATTGCGTTGTAGATGTCCATGACAATAGGCTTGATTGCGGCCTATGACTTTGGGTTTTACACCTAAATTGAGAAAAATTACAGAGCTCTGCAACAACAACTGAAAGTTGAAGTGAAGTAAACTATATTCACAACTCATTCATTAGTTGAAACACAAAGCTCAAGAAGAGTCCTCATGGCCTGCTTTTTTACCACCTTCCCATACACTTCTCTTGCCAGCTTCAAAGCTTTCTCCATCTCCACAAGTCCACCACCTCCATTTTTCTTCAACTCCTCCATTTGAATCTTAAGTAGCCTCTCATCTCCTCCTATAACATCTATGATGCTATAGACCACGGCTTCCATGGCCGGAATCCGCCTTCCCCACCTCTTCATGAGCCTATCAGACCTATAAACCTCAGAATACGCAGACCAAAATGATGCCCTCAAATAGGCTTTCTCTTTCCCTCTCACTTTCCATCTCTTCATTTCTTCTTCTAATTTGTACACTGCACTTCCCACATCCATCCCTCTTTCAAGACCAATCTCAATCTCTCTCATCTCTTGTTTGCACATGATTTCTGACTCAAACTTACATCTCTTACATCTGCATTGGATTCCCCATGTCATTGACATCTCTTTGCGCTTGTGCAATGAAGAAAGTGGATCCAAATAGGCAAAGGTTATTTCTTCACCTGCTTTGATATCTTTAGAAGCATGAACTATCAGATAGTCTCCTACGTGTAATCTCCTTGCATTGGGGCAGCATGAATGGTTGATGAAGGAAGGTAATATCCATAGCCCAACACCATAATAATCATTGTTCTTCTTCCCTAACACACTGGCTGAAACAGCATCTTCGGTTAGAGAATTCACATCCAATATGGATAGTAACTTACCCATATCAATCTTCTCCGTCGCACCGGGTTGATTGTTCTTCATCTCTGTTCCTGGTTTAAAGAGACCTATATCAGGAACCCCAAGTGAATCTTCATCTTCCCCATTTGACAATTTGCTGATCAAATTGCTCGTTCTGCGACATTTTCCAACGAAGTCTGCAACTTTATCAATGAAATTCTTCCACATCACTAGTTGAGCTTCCTCACTCAGATCTTTCCCCCCAAGAACACTCCTTTCCATCGCTATTGCCTTTGTGACTAAAACCAATCCCCCTCCATCGATGTTCTTAGTTGCAAACAACCCACGTCCACTGATCTCAGATTTCATGATCTCCACAGAACCAATGTACTCTGCGAGTTCTGGAGACTTTCCTCGAAACCCATTTGAAACCCAATCGGAAAGGTTTAGAGCTCCAGTTCTGGAGAGAACGTCGAGTTTTTTACATTTCTCGACATACGCATTAAGGTTTTCAGAGTTCCCATTAGCTTGGGGATCAAGAAGAGCGACTCTGAAACAATCCAAAGCCACAGAATACATATTGAGATTGAGCAATATCTTACCTTTGCAGATCAGAGTCTTCAAATGGGTCCCATCGATTCCCAAAGCTAAATCACAATCTTCCAACGCAGAACGAAATTCTTTCAATCTTGATCTTGCTTCTGCTCTGTTTGAAAAAGCTAAGCAGAGGGATTTTCGAAGCCTTTGAGGCTGATCTAAGTCTGAATGGTTTTGGGTATGAAAGATTTGGTTTTGGCAAAGAGTGATGAAGTTTGAATACGCTTCGATGGATTCCTTCCATTCTTCTCTCAGGAGAAGCTCTGTTGCTTTAGATCGGAGCTTTTGCATATACCCTTCTTCGTCCATTGCTATCCGTGGCTTTGTCTCTTCGACGATCATCTTTGCAGATACAGATGAAATGGTTGAAGTTTTGGGATTTGAATTTCGAAATGGCGTAAATTGGTAGCGTTCACATGATTATTTTATTGTAACTTTATTTATTTTTTGGTTGGGATCCTAGGAATATGTAACGGTAACCACGCTTCTCTATGATACTCGTATATTTAGTATATTCCTGCAAAAAAAAAGTGTATTGAGTATATAAATAATAAATATAATTTTTTTAAGCCAACAATAAGTATAATATTTATCATTTATGAATTTAACAAATTGTACATTATTTAATAAAATAAATCAGAAACATATTGACAAAATAATTTTAAATTTAGTTAATTTATTATTTATTGATACCCAATATATGAAGGTCGAACTTAAGTGTTTTTAACCAAAAACAAAATCACAAGATGATCATTTAAATTGTTTTGCATTAAATGTGCAATGGTAGAGAAAATGTGATTCAACTAGCAAATATGCAATGATTTCATGTGAAAGAGGTATAACATTTTCTTAGTGGATTTATTTATGCTGATGAAAGGTATTTCTTTCCTATGATTTCATGATATTATAGACAAATTTGTAGGTTAAGGTTGAAGACAGACATAAGGTCCAAATATTACTGTTAAGATTGATGATGGACTTAAATAAAGCCGAAAACGTAGGTGTAGGAAGTCCATGAATTTTAAGGCCTTAAGATTGCAATTGAGCGGACTTACAATATGATTAGAGCCCATTTATATCAACCTAATACATATACTCTTCAATTAAGCCCAAAAACCATCACTTAAGCCCAAATTGCAAGTCTTTCATAGCCTTATAGCTCAAAAAACGTGTCTCACATTAAGAAAGGATAGAAAATTGATTTCATAAGGCTACTTCCTCGACAAGTCAAACAAGGTGTCATAGATTAATAAAAGTCATGTTGAGAATTTCAAAGATCATTATTGTCTTAATTATATTAATTTTTTCATCCATTATATTTAATTAAGCAGAAGATTCAATATCATATAATATCCCTTATTTAATTAAATATAATGGCTAAACAAATTAAAGAAAGCATCTCCTCATCAAATCTGTATCATCATCTCCTATCAAGATTCAAATTCAAATAATTATCTCTTTAAGATCAAGTCACTCATGAGGAAAAAATATATATAAAGGTATTTAGAAAAAGAAAAATGAAGCAAGAAAGATGAGGAAGACGATAAAGATTCATCAAGATCAAAGATAAAAAATTTAAATTATATTTTCTTGATTATCTTTACACCTCTACCTCTTCATGTTACCTAAAGGAACCTCTTAGGCTATAAAAGGGGGGCTAGAGGGCCAAAATGCAGATGGAATACATGCCACACTAACTTAACACATCACACAAGCATACATATTTGTGGCGCCATTCACTCTTCTGTTCTTTTTCATCTTTCTTTTCTTTTATCAATGATGTTATCTTCTAACCACATGAGTGGCTAGTTTCCCTTCTTTCTTGGGGATAAACCTTAGGGCTTAAGTTTCAGGTATCATCTAGGAAGTTGTTAATTTGATTTTTCTCTTTATGAATTTAATGATTTCTTAGAGTTCTAGGTTTTGAATTTTCATATTTGAGACTTTGATTTTCAAGTTGATAATCCTTGTATCAAACTTTGTGATTGAATTTATATTTTATGATTTGTTGATCCTAATCTATATCTTAAGTTCTTTCAATTAATTTATGTTCTTCTTGCATAATATGAATGTGATGCATAAGTTAATTGATTTTCTTGAATTTTCTTGTTGATAATTCTTTCATAAGACAAATTATGAAATCGAATTGAATTACAAGTTGAGTGGTAATAATTTCTTTTGGGAATAATTATAATTTAGAGTTCTAGTTATAGTTATAAATTAAATAGTTAGAGTTAAAGAGTTTCTAGAGTTAAGAGTTTCTTAAGGTTGATATCTTGATTTAGTTAATTGCAACTCCTCATCATTTAAATTGTGATATTCGGTTTGTCCCTAGGACTAGAGCCGGTAATATGGGTTGGATCTAATCTACCAAAAATGACGGGTTAGGATTGATCAAAAGCCAACTCGCCACTACCTTAAAAAATATAACCCGCACCGTCATAACTCGAACCCGGGACGGGTCAGCCCGCCAACCCGCCAACCCGCGAGTTAACCCACCTATTTTTTTTAAAAAAATAATGAAGGCTTTGTAAAGCAAACTTTCACTTCAAACTTCATTGTCATTAGAAATAATTAGATAAAGAGGTTTATTTAGTGTTGCTCATTGGTTTCATTGGAAAAAAATGTGTGAACTTCTGTATTATCATGTTAGGAAATTGGACAATCATATACTATTTGTATTTTATTGTGTTGTAATTTTTATTTGGATGTTTGTAATATTTTATATTATTTCTAGTGTTTTTATTTTTTATTATATATAACTACTAACATTTAAAAAAAAATTTAAAAAAAGCAAAAAAAAATAAAAAGCCTGGCGGGTTGGCCCGCCAACCCATCTTAGTGGGTTAGAGTTGGCATAATACTAACCCGTCAAAAAACGGGTCTTTTTAAGCCCGCACCGTGTAACTCGCGACCCGCCACAGGCCAACCCGCAATCCATAGGTTGGCCCGTTTTACCAGCCCTACCTAGGACGTTTCATCATTGGTAATTATCTCCTATATTTTTCAAATTGTTTTCTTTAAAGCTTTCTTTTTTTATTCTTACTCAAAAAGAAAAATTTATTTTTACAAATTATTTTCTTCTTTCTTAAATCTTTCTTAAATTTTTCTCTTTTCCCTCTTTTTCTTTTTTTTCCCTCAACACATAATTAATTAGGAACTAAGCTTTGAATTGACTCCACAAGAGATCAACCTGAGTTGAGCCTATACTATATAGGTTTAATTTAGCCTAATGACATGCGCATCAATCTTCTTTAATCATGTGCATTATAAATATCTCTTGGTAGAAACCTCTTACAATCACTAAGAATATTTCAGAGAAAATATTATAAATTTGAGAGATAAAATGAATTGAGGTTTTATACTTAAAATCAAATTCAATATTTAAAATAACTCTTATATTAAAAATTAGATGTAGTATATCCCAACAAAGTATGGATATAGATCTCACTGCTGAAATAAAAACAATATTAATAAGTAATTTGCAAATATATGTATAAGTATTCTTTGACTATGCCTAATTTTCTTATGGTTAAAAAAAGGAAAAAGAAAACTAGTTAGGTAAAGGTGCAATTATACCCCTAATCTTATTTCTAAAATATACCCATCACCCTGATCTTTTTAGTAGTGTAATTTTACCTATGATCTTCTTTTTTTTTTTGTGTGCATCCAGTACCCCAATGTTATCTTTTTAGTTACATGAGCACTTTAATTTTTAAGGTGCTAGATGCATTATAAATAAAATTAGGTTATGGATATACCAAAAATAAAAAGATCATGAGTAAAATTGCATTACTACAAAGATTGAGATGCTAGGTGCACATGAAAAATAAGATTCATAGTAAAATTTCACTTTTTACCAAAAAAGGAAACACTTCTCTTTTTTCCCCCCCTTTTTAATTCGCTTATGAAAAGATGAAGACCTTATGATGAATTATATACAATGCTTATTCCCCAAAAAAATCAACTTATACCCAACTTTTTTTTTATTCACAATTCACAAGTATCTTTTGATTCGAGGTAATATTGTTTAAAACTGAGTACTAAATGAACACATCTTTCAGTAAACATTCAAACTTTGCTTCAGTACATTGTGAAAAACTAACTTTTTTTTTTTTTGCTAAACTCAACTCTTCACTAAAGTTTAGCCTCCCCCCATAAGATAAATATACTTTTACTGTTACAGAATATTGAAAACCAGAATTATAAATATATTAGCCGAGCAAGCAAAAGCGATACTTCACACACACAAAAAAAAACAAGGGTCTCCATTTTTCAGTAGCATACATGTTTAATGTCTGCTATGCCATTTCAACATGGATGCATAATTAATTGTTTGTAAAAACATACCTCCCATGTATTAAAAAGGCACATATTAGTATGCCACCCAAAAACAAAGTAAAAAATAACAGTTCATTCTAAGTAAAATCATAATATTGAATCGCCTTGTATTAATTTCAAATCGGAAAGAGTTGCAATTCAAGATCCTGTTCTTTACTAGTTAGGAGAAAAAAAAAAAAAACAGATCAAGAGTGTTTTCTATCTTAGTTTCAAAATAAATTTTAAAATGTAAAACATTTCAATACAAAAATTTGCAACGTATGAATTATGAACTTAAACTTCAATTTTTCCCACAAAAAAGAAAGAGGGTCAGGATCTGACCGTTGCTACAGATTTACATAGACAATAAATATCTGTACAAGTAGAACCACCACTCTCCCATAAAAACAATGATTTCAGCATGCTTCCATCAGTTGCTCACTCGTTCAAGCCCTTCAAAAAGAGCATCACTTTGCGTTTCTTATGATAACAGTAATATCAATCCATGAAAGCTTCACAAGGATGCTCGTACGCCAGAGGCATGCACATTCCTCACGGTGTGGCTCCTGTGGAGATCAATGCTTATAGATCATCTACAGATTAAAGTCAAAACTTTATTCCAAAAAACAGAAACTAAAAAGCCTGCTATTTAAATCATCATTTAAACCTAAAATACCACTCTTGTCAGACAGACATAAATAGATCTGCAAAGGATCCACTAAATTAAGACAGTCAAAACCCATGTCTTGTGAACTTATTTTCTGCAGTTTGAAATGGTGTGGAGGTGATGGAGGAAAGCAAAGGAAAATTTGTAACAGTTCTCATTGAGATATCTTGCTTCTGGATTGGTTTGCAAAATTTTACCTATTTGCTTTAAGGTTCTGACCAAAAGGTTGATTGCAATTCAATCAGCCCATTACTTCTTCAGAAAATACATTCCATCCCTAAGCTCTAACTTCTCTTCAGAGACTAGGCCGGATAAAAAGCTTTGTAGTTGCTGGAGTGACTTGTCATAAGGGGGATCAGCAATGCAGAACATCTGCGAAGCAATAAGATATAGATTAATCTAACAGCTCATAACGTTGCCGTCAAAAGAATTTCTTGTTCTTACCTTGAGAGTATTGTGGATTCGATCTAATGCCATGCTTCCGAAGTTTGTCAGCATGCCCATGATAAATTTCTGCAACAAAACAATGGTAAAATTAGATGGCTTTATCCACATGCATTGCATGGCAATAATTTACTTGCATTTAAACCTGAAGAGAGATTTGCATAGCTCTCCAGTCCAACACGGGTTAACAAAAACTATCACATCAGCAAAATCAGTGATCTTTTTAAACTCCAAAGGAACGGGCTTTTCTAACCGAAGGAGCTTCTATTTTTCTAACTGTATTTTTCATTGAATAGTTCCACCTAATGTGGTGAATGAAAGAAGCCCTTTTGTCACCCGAGGTCCAAAAAAATTCTAAAGCCCATAAACCAGCAGATATTAAATAATCTGCAAAATAAAAACCCTCAATTCGTGAAAATTTTATTTTGTTAATTAATTAGATATATGAAAGCTAGTGATAATCAGAATAAAAATGAAGGTTTCAAAATCTGACAAGTAGATATTACCATTCACACATAGTAGGGAACATTTATTTCACATACCTCATATACTGTCATTTCCTTACGAAGTTGATTCTCCACTGAGGCCACGGATCCCTCTTCCTCCTCATCACCTCCTAGAAGCTCTTGGGAACCACCACCACTGCCTCCATTCTTACTTGTGTCAGCCATTTTTTCCATGAGTGTGTATACATGGTTAGAAGAGTCAGCCCCCGCAGACTCTGCAATGACCCCCTGAAAACAACAAAGACGGCAAAGAAAAATTATTTCCATCTTCACTTCTAAGATCAGGCTTCTATAGTTTCTAATTATGAAATTCATATCTATAAAATTTGGGCAACAAAGAATCCATCATCTTTTAGCAGCTTCATCAAGATAGAGTTATGACATCAATTACTCAGCAATTAATATGAACAGAGTAGTTCATGACAGGTTACTTTGGGTCAAACAGTTGAGTTTGTAAATTTGTAAAAAGGAAGCAAGGATGAGTAACCCAAAAACAAAAGTTGATCTACCTACTTGAGGCTAGCTGATGTGCTCAGGGTGAGGCGAGTTGTGGGCAGAGGTCGAGACTTCAAACCCTCTTGATGCAACCGAAAATAAAAAGTATTTACTAAAGCCTAAAGTAAGCCAGTGAGAAAAGTATCAATTGTCTATCAAACCTACCTTGCTTATCCAGAAATTCATCCTCCGATTTAATACATCCATTGGTACTCCAATAGCAGCTGCAAGATTTTTAGAGGTCCAACTGAAAATAAAGGATATAAAATTATTTCACAAATGAAAACAAAAAAATAGGTGTATCAGCATATTACAATGTATACCTCGTTTGATCTTGAAATTGCATGATGATAGATGCATGAACAGGACCTACGGTGAATTGCATTGCCCTATCTTCAAACTGCAACTCCAGCTGAAAAATTGAACATAATAAAGTTAACAAATCTGTTAAGACAAACATATAAAGGCAAAAGGTAGGGAGGGAACAATATCACTCAATAAATTCAAAAATCTTCCCAAATTACAACCACAGACAAAATTCCCACTAAATATGTTAACCAACTTACCTTGACAGTACCAAGACTTTTCTTCCACTGTAGCTTACGTGGGGTTTTGATCTCGTGAAATCTATTAGCATAGTCAGAGAGTAGCTGGTCAACAGGTCCAGGGAAGTTAACAGGCTCCTCCTGTAAGCCTTTCCAAGGTTAATCATTCAACACGCAAAGTATCTAAGGGAAACATTTGAAACTGTTAGAAACGTGGATTAACACAATTTATTATATTGGAAGGAATTGATCAGAGGTATAAACATCTTATGCATGGACAAATGATTATAATTATAATATCATATCAAAGTGATGTCTTACATTTGAAGAAAAGTTTTCAAGGTAGAAGAGATTAATAAATAAAGTGATAAGCGTACTCATGCATTCTACGAAATTAAAGAAATAGTCTGCGTTATTTATGGCTTAAGCATATCATAATTTGCTATAGAATATATATTATATATTAATTAATTAAAAAAAAATCTTTTTCCTGCAAACCTGTATTGGAGGCCAGAAATTGGTAGATATAATAGTAGCTGAAAGCACATCCATAGGTATTGCATTCTCTCCCATCTCAGCACCTGAGAGCGCATTGCCAAATTTAGCCAAAAGAAATGAGACAAATAATAGTCACACTCGCTATGTAGCAATTGAAAAGAAAAAAAGGTTCTTTTCTGGGGGTAGGGGCAATATGAATTTTAGAAAGTACTTGTCTGAGAGAGCTGACTTATAGTAGCTTTGATGTTGGTGTTGGTCCTCTTCGAGTCAATCAAATCATTGAGCATTATCTCACATTTCTGTAGACTGCTCTCCCCAAATTGAATCTGCAGAAAGAAAACGATATTCATTGTCTTGATAGACATGCTAAAAATGAAAAATGAATGTACAAAAAATAAAATAACACAGTATCTTCGGACTCACTCAAACAACAAGGGCATCATCAACATCAAATTAGCCACATACCTTAAGGAGCTCCAGAGTACGTATCTCTGAGTCAATATCATACTCAGATTTGTTTAAAAGCTTTTCTGCAAGCATGGTTCGATATTCATTAACTAGTTGGTCTTTGGAACCAATTATGCCTACAATCATCCCAAGAATGTCAACCTTCCTCTGGTTCCTGCTACCCTTTGATGGATCTGCTTCCACAGGATCAGGCTGCCAGCTAAAAGAAAAAGCTATTAGGAAAAAGGAAGAAAGCATGATTTTTGAAAAAACAGCTAACCACTATTGAGGATTTCCAAATATATATACCGTGTGGCGTTGATCCATGCTTGCCTATCATCAGTGTTGAAGTCATCATCTGTGCCAAAATTCTCTTGCATTTCTTCATCTCTGTTCAACTCTTCAAGAAGACTATCTCCAGGATTTCCAGATGCACTTGAATTTCCACTAGTCCCATCTGTAAGCATAGTCACTATACATTTTATGGTATCTTTCCTTCCTCTTAAATAGTCCCTTATCGGTTCACCTACTGCCTCAAGAAAAACAGCCGCAGGATCTATTGTCCTTAGAGCCTTAATAGTCGAAACATATTGATGCAAAATATCATTGGTTGAAGCGCCTGCAGTAAGTAAGCGATAACGTAGTGCTGAAATAAATGACTCCACCAACTTTGCATGTTGCCCAGTGTATTCAAGACATAATTTTAAGTCTTCAATTGCAGGAGAGCTATATATATCCACAGAGAAAGGAAGATAAGTATTCAGAAAATTAAACATATCCCAGTCAGCTCTAGTTTGATAAGAATTAATAAAACTTGTACCATCATGTGGTTTGATTATAATATTCAAATAAATTAAGGGATAGAATATCAATCAAAATCTCATCAATATTTAATCAGGGATGCAGCCACAGCAAAGCATTTTAGAATTAGTGCCAAAGCTTAACATTATGTTGATGGCTTTCAGCTTAGCAGTGCTGACCCCATAGTTTAATTTATTAAAAGTAGGCCATAAAGACAACACAAGATGCACAAATTCAGAGTTCCATGATAGAACATTGCAATTTTTTTCCTAATAGTAGCAGTAGGTAAACCAAGGGGAAAAATGAAATCAATGAACTACCTCTCGGGATAATCAACAATTATCTCAAACAGTTTTGCTATTCTTAAATCTTGTAGTGTTTCATAAGCAAAATACTCCAGCCGTAGCTTCCATCTGACAAGCCCTTCAGATGGTGCATCAATTCCAGGACAGCATGAAGCTGGCTGTGGTGCTAAAGGTGATTTAACACCTGACGAAGTACTCTCATAACTAATAGAATCACCAAGATAGACAAGAAGGGCATGCAGAAACTGCAGAGGTACAGCCTGCACAACATGACACCAGTTATAAGAATAAGTTAGTGTTTAAAAGGAGTTTATTTATCAACACAAACCCGCATGGCCAGATGATATATTTTGCATACATTGTTTTGGAGATATTACACAGTAACAGCCCCAATTTAACATATTTAAATTTATCAACACCTAATAAATCAGCTCTCTCCATTGACAATTTTCAGACTTCCATTTAGCTCCCTTTTCTTCACCAAAAGACAAAAAGGAGGAAGAAGAAGAAAAGGGACTTCAACTAAGTTCCTTTTATCAACTGGAAGTTTGTGTTGCGCTTCAGAATACATTCTGGACCCTTAGGCAATGTTTGGTTGGAAGGTTTTTGGAGGGAGGGGAGGGAAGGCGAGGAGAAACTGGCTCCAACTGGGTTTGGTTTGGAAAAATGGAGGAGAGGGGAAGGGAGGAAAAAAATTGTCTTTTAGTGCTCCCTTCCCCTCCTTCTGCTCCACTCCAAATTTGGAGCTTTTTGGAGGGAAGAGGAATATTGTGCCTGTTTGGCAACGTGTTTGAAGAGGTGAAAAGTAACTTATAGAGGTGACAAGTTAGTTTGCAAAGTTGGAAGCTATTTGTCACAGCTTTTGGCCAATCTGACTTATGGATCAAAAGCTACTTATTTAAACATGATTGCAAAAGTAACTGAAACTTATTTATGACTTATGCAAAAGCAACTTTTTGAAATTAAAAGACATTTTTGCCCTTGTATTTATGATATTTTTATGCTTTTCTATATATTCCTTATGCTTCCTGGTCAATTTTTAATTATTTATTTTTAATATTCTTATAAGTGAAAATAATTTTCAACAGTTTTTTATAATATTTTTAATTTTTAATATTATTTTTCATTTTATGTTTACATAAATTGTGTACAGTATATCATCTAATTAATTATGTAATATTATTTGGTTTAAAAATTTTCACATTATGATTTGTAATTTAAATATATTTTATTCATTAAATATAACTTCTTCATATTATAATAATTTAAAATTATTATTATATCTTATAAATTCATATTTTCAATCATTTTTCATTAATAAAAGTCATACCTATTTTGCTCATTCTACAAACTAAACTTATTCAATCATAATCCAAACAACTTTTTTATTTCACAAGCTAACTTTTATAAAAGTCAATCTAAACATAAATCACATTACCCAATCTAACTTTTACCTAATCTCACTTTTCTAAAAATTAGATTGAGAATAAGTTACTTTTTCTCCCGCTGATCCAAACAGACCCATTATGTCTCATCCTGATTAAATTACCCATATTAGTTTTTAAATATTTTAAGTTTATCCTTTTTAGTAAAAACCTTTTTTGACTCTTTTTTCTTTTCAGCCCCTACTATTCTTCTACAAATGTTTTCTCTCTTTGTTTTTTTTTTACTCCTCAAATTTGTTTTTCTTGCACATTTTCTTTTTTTGATTTTATCATTTCCCACACCCTTCGCCATTAATCTTCTCCATCTTTTCCTCTTTCCTGATCCCCCACTTCAATCTCATTTTTTACACAAAACTGTGTGTGTTATTGATGGGCTTAGCACCCAAGCTAAGGCAGTATATAGTAGAAAGAAACATATGATGAACCAACAAATTTGTTTTCAGCCCCTACTATTCTTCTACAAATGTTCTCTCTCTCTTTGTTTTTTTTTTACTCTTTTTTCTTTTCAGCCCCTACTATTCTTCTACAAATGTTCTCTCTCTCTTTGTTTTTTTTTTACTCCTCAAATTTGTTTTTCTTGCACATTTTCTTTTTTTGATTTTATCATTTCCCACACCCTTCGCCATTAATCTTCTCCATCTTTTCCTCTTTCCTGATCCCCCACTTCAATCTCATTTTTTACACAAAACTGTGTGTGTTATTGATGGGCTTAGCACCCAAGCTAAGGCAGTATATAGTAGAAAGAAACATATGATGAACCAACAAGCCCAATCATCAGTCACGGGCCCAGATGCAGCACTTACCCAGCCCAATAGCTCTCAAAGTTAGTTTTATAGGGTTGCGTGCTAGGGGGGGGGGCAAGGAACATGTGGATGGAACATGAGAGCTACTGACCTCTCGAATGTCAGGGAAGATTTCACTCATTTATGCTATCATTTCCTCAGCCATGTCTTTCTATTTTACTGTCACTTCCATTTCCAGAGTAGTAGCCAGGATTGTCAGTTCATTATGTCCTATTTTTCCCTCTTCCTTACACCATTGAAGGGGGTTGTACTGTTGAATCCTAGTAATTGGAAACAATACAGAGAGAGTTCTATCACTTATCTAATTACGCAAGTGAGACTACGCACATTATCTAATTAAGAATGGAATATTTCAAAGTTTGTTGCATAAATTTATTTATAATTTATATAATATGCTACATAATATACTTCTTTGTTTGACACTTATTTTGATCCATGATTATTTATAATCTATTTGTTATGTCTCAAGGTAACTTTTTTTTTTTTTAAATAATATTTATAAATTAGAAAATAATAATTATGATATAAATATTGCAACAAAATAGTAAAAAAATCTAAATAAAGAGATAAGGACATATTTGTCAACTTATAATTAGCTCCCCTCCCTTATGTTCCTAAACTAAACAAGAAACCTCACCTCTAATCTCTTCCCCTCTAACCAAACAAGAGTCATAACTTCCCATCTACTCCTCTCCCGTCCATTGAACCAAACAAAGCCTAGAGCATATTCTAAACGAAAAATTAATTTTGGCTGAAGAATATATTTTTAGGTGCATTTTTTTGTTGACCAAATCAGGTGCAGTTAACTAATATGTCCTTATCTAAGTATCACAGATTTATAAAAAATAAACAAACAAACAAACATAGAAAAGTAATAGTAATAGTAATAATTCTGAACCGAAAGTAAACATTTCACACAGTCTAAACAAACTCGTTCTTATACAATCAGATCTGGGTAAAGATTCCCAAGCTATCATAATGCAGTAGAAGCATATATAATCCTTAAAAAATGCTTATCTACTAATTATCCCAAATAATCAATCTTTTACATTTCAAAGTAATTATTTGCCAAAAGACATCAGTCATAATTTATTCATTCTTTTTTTTTTTTTTGACACAATAATTTATTCATTCATTAACATACACGTTGGAGATGCCAATGAATTCATAAGGAAAACAATGATATTGTAAAATGAGGCATTATTGAGCAGATGAAACAAACTGGTAGAATGTGGCATATATTTGCTTAGATTGGAAATGCTTAGGAGGAATTGATAGGCATGCTAAAATGGACAAGGGAGGTCCAGGTGGGGACATCATTGGATTTGATCAGAAAACAGACTGCCCTAACTGGATGTCAAAGAAGAATCAATATAAGGGATACCAGTTATGTCTAGTTCAAATGAAAGAATAACCCGCACATGATGGACATTATGGTTTATATATAGCACAATAAAAACATGTTAAATGCATATGAACAAACATATATGCAATACAAACCTGTATCCAACTTTTAATTGATTGTAAAACGGAACTCCTAAAGTCATCACCAGCAAGGTCATGTACTTTTGCCTGGCATTCAGACCAGAAAGAGAAATTAAGATAACCAAAACATTAGACGCATAACCAGGGACATAGCCACATACAAAGAGAAGGCAAATGTGCTCACTTTCAGTAGCAAGAAGATAGCTGAAGCATAAGCATCTTCAGCCATAGAAGTAAATCCAAGACTTCTAAGATCAAGAACAACCTTCCCAATGTTCTTCACCAATCTACTGTTTTCTGAGAACCTACTGTGCTTATAACAATCATCAACATCCATTGCACCAACCTTGGTACAGATTTTGCCTTTTTCATCTAAATCCATGTCATCCTTACTCTGAGATGAATCATCATTGCACTCTTCATCCATGATTGTACTTAACTCCTCTAGTCTTCTTTTAAAATACCAGTGCAATATCACTTAAGAGAGGAAAATAAAAAGTAACCATACAAGGTTAGATAAAAGAAACAAAAGAAAATGACAAGTTTATCAAGTAAAAATTACCAAATAAAAAAATAATAATTAAAGTTGAGCAGACGGAAGATGTTATAGACATTAAACAATAATACTCCTAAGAAGATCAATGGACATCTTGGATTGTCACATTGCTTTATGGATTGAACTATATTGCTTGTGTGATGGATCTAATGACAGCAAAATCTCATGCAGCTACTTAGGTAAATTGCAGAAACAGAGATTGGAGAAAAAAGATATACCACCAATAAAGCCAGTACAAAGCATTGTTTGCTGGCTATCTACATCAGTAAACACCCACAAGTTTTGAAGTGATCAATTCAAAAAATAATAATATTGAGGGACGAGTAAAATGATGAATTAAGATAACACTGACTCTTAGTTGTATCGATTATTACCTAAATAAGCTTATATCCAATTCAAAATTTTAACTTACATTATTACATAGGTAAGCACCTATCAATACCCACAATTTTAATTTCATAATCAAAATGTTCAGACTATGATATCAAATCCTTATCTTGTTTTTTGGTATGCGTTACAGAGATTCAGAAGGAAAGAGGATAATTTATCTTATGGGTAAGCTCACGCGGATAAAAATACTCGTTGCTCCTAGAGTGATCAATCTAAAGAAATATAAAGGAAAATTTTAATTTTGTGCATTTCATGTGTTAAAATCCTAATAATAAAGTTAATAATTATCAGATGCGGTTGATTCACTAATAATACATAAAGCCAAGTCCAAACGTCTCAACAATGAAAATCATTTTCACAGTTAAAGTTTTATGTACCAGGAAAATGACGTGGAAGCGAAGCCATAAGAACAGAGGACACAATCAATTGATATTTTGAGACTAAAAAATCTCTTTCTGCCTCAAAATCATGTCTTTCCCCTGATATCTGATTCTTGTAAGATTGTAAAGCATGAACCAACATTAGTAAGCACTTCTCCTGATGCTGCTTCTCCAAAGAGATTTCTTCCAGAGCATTACACAAAACTTGCTGAATTTCGTCCTCATTAACCTGTTTGAAGTGTTTATGGCATCAACTATGAGTTGATAAATGACTAAAAGTCCCGATTCATCAATCAATTTAAAGTGTTCAGAAAGGTTCACATAAACTCACATCAAGCTCATTATTCTTCTTCAAATCCCCAAAATTAACGTAAGCATCAAAATGCCTCCAAAATTTCGACGCTCCATTTCTCTCAAACGTTTCCTGCCACCAAATGAATTTAAAATTTCGACCTTTCTATGGCGACTAGCCAATGGCAGCATATAGTCCGTTACTTAAAGCCAAGTTTTTTGTACCTCAAGCACTTGAAGGAAGTGATCCCGAACCAGAGACTCTAACCCATGTTTGATGAGGCCATGAACTAGAGTTCCAAACTCGGAACCAACAGAGAGGTCGCCAACACCAGTGACGAGGGTTTGCGCAGCGCCACAGAACCCATGGTAACTATCTACGATCTCTTGTAAGGAATCATCAGTGAAAGCATCCAAAACCCCTAGATTCCAGAAACGGGAGGTCGATTCCTCTGTGGCCATCGAGGAGAGGGAAAGTAGAGGCAGTAGAGAGATTATGGGAACAAGATCCTGTTGAAATTTGCCGCCACCGCAGAGCTGGAAGGAAAAGGAGAAGGGCGGATCGGGGGGGCTGAGTGAGTACAGTGGATAGCAGCCCGAGCAAGCGCCAGACGATGGATTTTCCCTCTTCTTTTCACTTTCAAGGTCTTTGGTACCGATCAAAATCATTTTAAAAAAAGTGCGCAAAGCTCTTCTTCCAAATTTAGATTATATATCATAAAATTATTTCTAAAAGAGAAAATGACATAAAAAGAAACCTGAAATATCTTATATGCCAAAATAGGAAGCTAAGCATATCTAATCATAGTTTAGGAAGTGTTGCCTAATAGGAGATTGTGAAAATGTTGTTTAATTACAAGAAAGCTCTTCTAGCAAAGTTTGAAAGTAGAGAGAGAGGCACGAACCAACCCTGTCATAGTTCCTGGTTTCTCGCTTCCACCATCCCCATTGCTGCCCTAAAAACGCCAGTAAGTTGGAGAGTTAATAACGCTAAAATAGTGTGTGCGTAAGAGAGGAGAGGAGTTTAAAGTGGAAGGCTATTTTGTTTGAAGGGCAAGTGTCCGCGGCTCTGGCTGATTGAGTGGAAGGATGAAGGTTGGTGATCGGTGATTCACCGTTGCAGTTAGCAAGCATCAGTGGCGTTTGACTAAGGTAAGTTTACGGATTTAAGTTTCGTCCTGTGGTCGACGTTTTTGGGTGAGTGGAGGAAGCAATGGTTAGTCAATATTTAGAAATGACACGATTAAGTTTGTGAATGACTGGAATGGTGATTCAGGGTTTATTCTCAGTCTTTGTGACATGCCAATTTTTTTTTAACAATGAATTTTAGCACTATGACGTTAGCGAAAAATGGGGTTTCAAATGACTAGGAAAATTGTCTGATTGACTGGAAAGATTTTATGAACGAATTGGAAATGCCAATAACATATTGGTAATGACAATGAAGGAACTGAAAATGACCATATTTATAGTAATGACCATATTCTCAGTATGTAATGACCATATTGGTAATGACAATGAAGGAACTAGAAATGATGATATTCATAGTAATGATTATATTATTAGTCTGTAATGACCATATTCCTAATGACAATGAAGGAATTGGAAATAACCATATTCATAGTAATGACCATATTGGTAATGAGAATGAATGAACTGGAAATGATCATATGCATAGTCATGACCATATTCTTAGTCTGTAATGACCATATTCCTGATGACAATGAAGGAACTGGAAATGACTATATTCTCAGTTTGTAATGACCATATTCCTGATGACAATGAAGGAACTAGAAATGACCATATTCATAGTAATGACCATATTGTTAGTCTGTGATGACCTTATTGTAATGACAATGAAGGAACTAGAAATAACCATATTCATAGTAATGACCATATTCTCAGTCTGTAATGACCATATTGGAAATGACAATAAAGGAACTGGAAATGATCATATTCATAGTAATGATGACCATATTCTTAGTCTGTAATGACCATATTCATAATGACAATGAAGGAATTAGAAATGACAATAACATATTATGAAATAACCAGAGATTTAGTATATGTATAACATTTATTACTTAATAACCGTACACTGATGACTTTGCAGAATTATATGAAATGGTGTTGCAAGAAGGGGAAGGGCCCATAACCAAAGGAGTACACAGCGGACTCGTATTGTTTGCAAGGGACTATATGGCAAAACGAGGGGATAAGTGTAAAAATGCACTAGAACAAAAAATTGAAGTGGAGAAGGCATGGAAGGTGCTGAGTCAGGAAGAGAGAGATAGGTATACTGAGAGGGAAAAGGAATTGAAGCCAGAGAAAGGTGAAAAGAAGAAGTATGATGTTCCCTTATACACTTGGTGCTCATTACCCGGATTTAAGTTATTGGCTGAGTATGTGAAAAAGAATAAGCAGTTAAGGTAGAAGGTTGAGAGGATAGGATTTGGGAACTTGCTTAATGTGAATGTGAAGCAACTTCTATGTGATTTACTTGTGTTATTGTTGAGATCCTATAACCCACCAACACATTTTTTACTATTAGGGGGTAAGGGGAGGCAATTGAAGCAAAAGATGTTCATGAGTTTCTAGCTATACCTCATGGTGGGAAGGAGGTCAAATCTAATGTTGGTGAGGATGATCCAACATATAAGAGGTTAAAGGACACATATTGAAAGCTTCCATTTACCTAAATACTAAAAAAGATATTATCTAGGACAAAAAATGACAATTTTGAGCTCCTATTTGTGCTTTATATAGTTGGAGCTTTTTATGTCCTGGTCAAGCACAACTGTACATTTAATTTTGTTGAAAGTGATGCTTCACACAATGGATGGGTTTGGAAATTATGATTGGTCAACATACATTATTAAGAGCCTATGGAAGGAAATAGGAGACTTTGTGAAGATGTCAAAGAAGACAAAGAAGAAAGGAACTTGTAATGTTGGAGGGTGTCTTTATTTGCTACTAGTAAGTGAATATTTTTATTAGTTACTATAATTTTGTTTTATATTATTGTTACATAAGTATGACCTATATTTATTTGGTTTTGCAGCTATATTTTACTAAGTGTTTCCCGCTAGGGAAAACTGCTAAGCAAGGTTCAACAAGTGTTATTGAATTTTGGACCGAGAAGAGGATAAAGGAGATAGTGGAGAAAGAGAGAAATAACTGCATGGGAATATTGTATGGAACCAGTGGCAGTGAGGTTTACTCAGCAGGGGATGACGACAATTCAATTCTACAATCTTTAGATCTAGTATGTGGGAATTTAGAAAAGTTAATATGGTTGACTACTGCTTAAGTTACTCTATTAGCAAGTTTGATACTTAAGATGACAAGACTTGATTTGCAAATGACCAGTCAGATACTAGGAATGATAACAGTGATCAATTTGTTGCATATCTTCATTTATTGTGTATATAGGCCTTAAAGGAGTTGAGGGGTCATTTCATGAAAAAGCTTGAAGAAAGCAAGAGGATGTTAATGAAGGCTCTTGATGATAAGCTAATGAAAGTGCAAATTGGATTAAATGCCAAAGTGAAGGGGATGGGGAATGAGAAGGCCACTGCTAAAGAAGGGGATGAAACACTTGTTGATGTAGGTGGTACATTGCTAATGAAGTTGCAAATGAAGAAGCTGAAGACGTTGGCCGAGTGGTAGAGGAGATTGCAAGAGAGGTTGTAATGGGAAGTGGAGATAAAGAACTTGATGAGAATAATAACAGCAAAAGAGATGATGATCAGGATGAGGATAAGGAAGAACATGACCTTCATGATAGGGAATGAGGTCATGATTATGATAGTCGTGGGGGAGATGATGATGAGGATAAGGACAAGGATGAGGAGGAACATGACCATGATGACAAGGAAGGAGGTCATGATTATGTGGTTTAAGAGGTAGAAGATGAGGATGAGGATGAGAATGAAGGTCGTGGAGGGAACGATAAGAAGGAGGTTGAGGATTTAGATGATGATGAGGGTGAGGAAGACATACATGCAAAGACTGTTACCCCTACCAATCTTCCTTTGCTATTGGATGGTGATGGGATAGTAGTGACAATAGGGAGGAAGCAGAACCTCAATAATCAACTAGACTGAGGAGGTCAACAAGGGCAAAGAGTTCCACAATTAAATCTTCATGAATCGAGTTCAAGGCAGCTTCAAGGACAAAGAAGCCAAAAGAGGAAAGAGACATTTTTTTCACTTTAATTTTCCACATACCCAGAGGGAAAGAAGTATACCTTTGGTTGGCCTGAGTTTTAAATGACATGGTGTGTACTGACAATGACAAGAATCGAATTGAAAATGACAAGAAACTATATGGGGATGACAAGTGATGATGTCCTAGAAACTGTATTTTCTATCACTGACTTCTGACAATGTTTGCAAGACTTTGATTAAAATATTTGATGAAGATATAGACCAACAACAGCTATTTTCTCTGGGTGGAATGAATAGAGTAAATAATAAGGTATTTTTGAATGCCTTATATTTACACTCATACTTATTTTTGATAATGTTTGGTGAAATTATTATGTCAAAATGACGTTTTCACTATGTAATATAGGTGCTTAATTTGTGGTGCACGGTAATGATGAAGGACATGAAGGCAGAGTTGGGGCCAGGGAAGGGGCATATCTTCAACGTGGATTTCATGGTGAGGTTACTTAATTCCAAATCCAAATACCAATGATAACAATGGAATTGGAAATGACAAGGTCAAATAATGGATTAACAATTTCATGTCATGCAAAATATGATGTCATTTGACCTAACCTGGAAAGCCCAAAAATAAAAGAAGCTTATTTTTCCTGAGTTTGTTGGCCACAACTTAAGTGAATGTGATTTCATAATTGATCCTGCTTTTATTGGCTAGCACTGGTTTTATGTTGCCATTCAGCCTAGCACATTGGATTTCTACTTAATAGACTCTATGAGTGATCATTTTGTGGATTAAGGACAGAAGGAAGAGGAAGAAGGTTGTCATCAAGGACCCAGTGGAAATGGCTATGGAGGATTTTGTAAGAAAAAACTCATTGTGTTTACCCTAGATTTTGTACTTTTCAAATCCATTCAACTTTCTGTGTTAGTACTGAACATGGTGAAGCATACCTTAATCTTTTTATAGAGGAAGAGATTCAACATGATCTTGGACTTGGTCAAGCCAGGATTGGTTGGGAAAAAGCCAATGTCTGAAATGATATTTGCAGAAGTTTCTCAACAAAATAACCTGTTAGTCTTGTCAATTTGGAATTTTGTCTAGTAAATGACCATGTCAGAGGCATTAACTAACTATGTTGATATTGTTGTGTCCACAGGAAGGATTTTGGGTGCACTGCATAATGTGGCTGAGAAGATGAGAACCTGGTGTGACCCTTAACTACATAGAGGAAGAAGTTGCTGGCTTTCATTGTGACCTTTACATAGTGGTTAGTGAATCATGAAATAAATGAAAAATGTGACGAGGCATTAGATCTTATTCAACAACTACAACCATATAAGAGTAGAAAGCCAAAGAAAAGGCATCTATCCTAGGTGTCTCCTTGATGTTAGGATGATAATTCACTTGTTCTTTG